GAGCGAAGTATGTGGAGTAATATCCTGAGATGCTTATTTTGTAACAGGCAGCTCTGTTTTGGAAAGTGCTAAACCACCACTTTCTCTTATTCTGGCTGATCATGTGCCTTTAAAATGTAAAACTACCTGGTAAACCCTGCAGGAAGATAGCTGACAAACAGGAATCAAGTGGACTGTGCTCCTCACATGCAATGAATAGATGCCTTCACATCTGAGCACAGCCTTTGAAAGCACGAGTGTCCTATTTGGCCTGAAGAACCAGAACAGATTGTCTGAATAACAGGCTGACTTTCCAGGATCAGGAGTTAAAAACACATCACTCTATGCATCACTAGCTCTTCAAATACAGCCAGGTACTCAGCATATTCCCTGGGAGTGACYCCTGGGGGAATATTGCTCTCAACATTACTAAGACAAATGAAAATTGAAAACAACATCAGTAACACTTACAGATTATATAGCATTTAGAATTAAAATAAAAACTAACATKAGAAAATGTACTTATTAATGCAAAACTATTATTCCATAAGCCAGAGGCTGTTAATTCACTCAGGAGATGTAGTTGTAGGCTAATAGAGTAAACGGAACGCTCTACCATGTGCACCAGCTGAGCCAATGTTATCTTTAATAGCTGCTGGTGGAGGCAGCCTGCAGCCTTCTGGCYGTTCTGCCCTGGGTTACTTCCTCTTCCTCATGCTGGCTTAGGTGTCCCATTTCATTTCAGCTCCCTGAATTTGAAAATGAGAAATTCAGGGAAAAGAACAGGAAAAGGATGTCTTCCAGTCCTGACATGCTTAGGCTGGACATACAGATTTGCCTGACTTTTTTTGTATGGAAGCTCGACAACATCTCTGCGCTCATCTCACTACTTGGACATTTCTTCAATAACTTACAGGGAGGATGAAGGCCTCTAAAATTCAGCTAAAAATATCCTCATAGATAGATCTTCTGTATTTCCATTAACCCCACCAATTCAAGCAATTTCGTGCATCATTACCAGCCCCAACCAAAATCAACGGTTGAATTGAGACACAGTGAGCCAGTGCATCTCCCATGACCCATGACAGGCTTGTGCCTGACAGGACTGCCAAAGCAAAGGACATCCCTTAAATGYAGCCAGGTATTCAGCCTGCTCTCTTATGAGGGATTCGATGTAGAACARCTCAAGCTAGTCATGGAAACAGCATCATGCTTTCTGTATAACATCATGGGCCATGAAACTATAGAAACTTTCATGCATCATCTACTGTGTTTTTATACTGGTTGATTATTAGTGAAGACAAATTACTCCTCATTTCTCTTACACACCRTTTCTTTAAGCTGTCAGCTAGACTAGCAAACACCATGGTTYGGTTATTCACCTTAGCAGGGATTATTTCTTATCAGGAGAAAGTCTACTTTTTCAGAACAATRAGAACAGGGGCCTCGTGTGACAAACAAGTTGTAGCTGACTGTGGGGCTCTCGGGAAGCATGGCCCTGTGTAGCAGGATAGAGACAGTGTGCAACCTTTGTAGTCACATCAGTCACCATGTTGTCTCAATRTAAAACACAACCAGGTTGCTTTCTGAAGGGTATTTCTCTCAAATAAATAAAGCTGTGTGCAAACAACAGTCTGAAAGAAAAAGAATTGCCCYGCAGGATTTTTGAAGTCTTCTCAGTTTGATGCCATTTGATTAACCTCCCAGCAGCAAAAAAAAAAATAGCTCTATTTGTACAAGTTTGGGCCTTCCAGAGAGTTTGCTYGTGAGGAGGTGTGGGCATGTGGAATGCTGCTGGCTGGCAGATAACATATTGTAAAAAGAGACTTTGAAGTTGAGTTGAATAGACCTTACATCGAGTACTAAAAATCACTGYGGCTGTAAGTTCAACTTGAAAAAATAAGAAAGGTATTTTATAGTCAGACATATGTTTGTACCCAGTATGAAGATTTTCCCACTTGCAGGTTCTCTTAGAGCTCTACCTACTATTATGGGTAGATGTGGGCCACAGGAATGGACGGAGACTAAGAGCTTGGCTCTGCTTCATATTCTTTATACAGAGAAAGCATAAACAACCATGGTAAATAATAATGCTGGTAAATTAGAGAGACCAGTTCTTGTAATTTACTGCTGGAACACACTTGGCTTKGTTTTGTCTTTGTGGTATTTTAAACCAGGGAGAACTCCATGTAAGGCAATGGGGAYACTTGGGTTGGAAATAAAACAATGGAACAAGACTCATTGGAACTGTATACATTTGAAAAATTAGTTTAGAAAAATAATTTTTCACAGTCTTGGTTTCTTTTCCCTCTTACCATATAATACTGTAGTTGTACATTTTAGTTTGGGAATCTGTGTTTAGAGTTTCCAAAGCTAAAATAGGGCAGAAATTGAGAAAAAAAATGGCTGACAGTTTGAGATTGGTCGTGGTTTTGAAAATTTCAGAGCCAACAGCAACACCTGTTTTTGAGAGGACTACAATAGAGTCCTTAGATATCTCCTCACCTCTGGGATTAAGAAGTATTTTGGCATGAAATGCACATGAGGAACAGATGCCTGATGACCTCTGCTCCATGCAATGCTCCTCTGCGGCTTACAAGAAACAGCAAGGGCTCTTCACATTCCCTAAGTTTACCTACAYATGAATTTTAAATCTCTGCTTTTCTTGTAAAGTTATTTGCTTGACAAAAAGATAACCAACAGCAGGGTGCTGAGCACCACCTACTTTCTGAGGGCCATCTCATGTCAGACTAGAGAGAAATCTCTGCTTGTTTTGCTGGAATTGCTTGTAAGGGTTTCAGTGCTGAGTCACTGCCYGAGAACACATCACTGTGTTTCTTTGTTCTTTTTGATTACACAGTGCTACTCTTAATAGAAAGGAACTAAACTGAAAGTTAAAAATCCAAAGTATTTGCTGGAACAAATTGGATGAGCTTGCTCTCTAATTAAGATTCTTTTTTCCTGGTTGCTCTAAAGATTCTGCTTTAYGATGTCTAATAGAAATTATAATATTTTTTCATTTGGTTTTCTTTTACTAGACTATTGCAGATATATTTTCTTGGGGTTTTTTTTCTGTAAACTTATTCACTAAGAAAAAGCCCCTCTTTACCTGTTCTGGACTCAGAAAAACTCTTGCAAGTTTTACTGACTTATCCTTTCAGTGTGAGTCATCTGCACACGATTTATCCACCTACAAAGGTAGTTTCTACTACTATTTGTTAATATTTTGCCTTTCAGGTGAAATACAGGAATACAATGAAGGAAAGGAAAATACAGAGGGGCTTTTTTTCTTTCACATTGCTTTTACTAAGGTGGGCTGCTAGTCTTATTCTCCTCTCACCCACATCAGGAACTCCCCCTGCATTTGCTATTCAGGGGTTCAAGTTTTAAGCTGGCAAGATGCCAGTAAGTTCATTAGTGGCACACTGGATAACAGCACAGACCCAATCCTCAGGGATTTAGACAACATTTTAACAGTAATGTTTGAAGGCTAGAAGAAATTAAACTCTGCCTGGCCCGAGCTGTCTCAGGGGTTCAGGTTCAGGTAGATAATATAATAAACTGTTACCTCTCCTCGTAGGCAGCYTTGGGAGACCAGATGTCTCTTGCTTTAGCAGCTATCTGCAAATTGAAATGTGCAAAGCTAACATACTTCTGCAGTCACCTCACTACTAACATTTGGGATTTGACTTTTGGCTAAAATTATCAGGGTCCATTWAGCCTAAAAACCTCTTAGTACTGAAATGAACTGAAAACCAGAATACAAACTTTTTGTTACTAAAAAGTTACTTGGGAATCCACCTCACTTTTCTTGTGCACCTGCAAATACAGCTTCTTTTGTTTGTTCTGGAAACAGATTTAAAAAAAAGAAAAAAAAGAAAAAAAAGAAAAAAGATAAACATACCACATACAAATGCTGTGCCCTGAAATGCAAAAGCACCTGTACCAATAAATCATAGCTAGTGGCTCTAGGTCATTCCCATTAACTGGGCTATGTGGAGATGGCTGCGGATGCTCTGGGACACCTTTGTGGGTCACTGTGATGCGAGTGACCACTGTAGAGGGTATGGCTGGGCTGTACACAGTTGTCCAGGATTCTGCTGGCTGGGTCATAGTCATGCAGTTCAATCCTGTGCAGGACATGGCTGTGTGATACTGCTGAGAAGGACATTGCTCCRTGGGAGGGACATCACCATGTGAGACATTGCTGTGGGGTCTCACTAGAGTGTGGGTCACTGCTGAGTAGGACATTGCTGTTAAGGTCATCACCATGTGGGATGTTGCCATGTGGTATGTTGCTTCGAGGGTCATCACCATGTGGGGTGTTGCTGTGAAGGTTGTCACCTTGTGGGAGCCACTCTCACGGGAGGACATTGCAGGTCACCACTGTGAGTCCCTGCGGTGTGGGACATGGCAGTGTGGGTGTCGGTGTGCATCCCTGGGCAGGACATCACTACAAGGGTCATACCTGTGGGAGTCCTGCAGAATGGGACATGGCTGTGTAGGTTCCTGCTGTTAGGACATCCTGATACAGAACATCGCTGTGTGAGACATCGCCAGGTGAGTCCTGCCATGCGGATCCCGCGGGAAACCACCACCGCCTGGCAGGACACCCCCGGGGACACGCACCCGACCCAGCTCCCGCTCCCCCGCTCTCGAAGCTTTGCCGCTTCGGGGCTGTGCCGCTGCCCGGAGCCCTCGGGGCTGGGGGCGGGGGCGGCCGCTGCTCGATCGGGCAGGGCAGG